CTCTCTCTCTCTCTCTCAGTCCAGTACTAACCTGTGAAGTTGGCGCCTTGATGCAGGTACCTCGAAGATGGAGCTGGAGCGATGGCGCCACAGGTGAGTACGACTGGCCTCCGTCAGTATCTCTCCCAACTCTACGCTCTACATTCTACTAGCGCCCAGCGCTGATGACTACAGCTATGGCTATGGCGCCCAGCGCCGATGACTACAGCTAGCGCTACTACTACTGCCTAGCGCTGAAGACTACTGCAGCGCTCCTCCTGAGTGCTGCGGCCAAAATCTGAAGACTACTGTCCTACTCTCCAACTGCCTACCCGTTCAGTGCCTGAAGCTCCTATGTACTATCACGGGTGCCTCCTGACTCGGGCGAGCAGTCCAGGAGGCTGCTCTTGCCAATAATGCCGAAGGGAGGCAGGGGCTGCAGCTGCAGCTCCTGCTCGTGCTCTTGCCAATAATGCCGAAGGGAGGCAGGGGCTGCAGCTGCAGCTCCTGCTTGTGCTCTTGCCAATAATGCCGCAGGGAGGTAGGGGCTGCAGCTGCAGCTCCTGCTCGAGCTGGCGTGGGAACAGGCCAGAAATAGCCTGTTCCGAAACCCATTTTTCGTGCCTGAATCTTAGGGCAGGTCGAAACAAATGAGGGCCTAAAAATAGCCCAGGGCCTAAGAATAGCCCTCCGTTTCAGGCTGGAAAAACTCTGGGTCTGAAAGACCCAGAAATAGGCTGAAACGGAGTAGGGCCTGCAGGCCCTCGTTTTTCAGTTTTCAGGCTGAAACAACCTGGGCCTGTAGCTCCTAAGTTTTAGGCTTTTAGGCTGAATGTCCGGGATGGGTCCTACAGGGCCCGTGTGGCTACGCAGTCTGCCACAGCCGCACCGGTGGCAGACGGGTGTGTGGGCACGTGGCGCTGAACCACACGCATCCTCACGCAGTGGCCATGCTAATCTTCTTTCTCTGTATGGTTCCAATTTTAACGGATGTCCCGAAGGATGAGTGTGGTGTAATCATATATACATACTATAATGGTGGTGGAAGCTATAGCTGATTCTCTTCGTCTAATCCCTTGAGCAACCTTGAAGTGTTTCACTTGTTTACGCCCCAGCCGTACCCTGTCCCGAGTCCCTTAACTTTTTGGAGAGGTTCAGTCAAGTTCTCCAGATGTACTGGTGGCTGAAGCCTTCCACTTGTTTACGTCCCAGTTAAACCCCACCAGTACCTGCCACACTTTTTGTACCCCCGGGGTTAAAATGAATTTGGACCGGAGGGGCAGGCCGATTCGGCTACCGCGTTAACGGCCGCCCAAGCCGGTTGGTACTACCGTACTGGTGGTTTAAAAGCTGAGACTACGTCATTATGCCCGATTTTCTTCGTCTAATCCGTCAGCAAATCTTGTACCTTATAAGTGTTCCGCGCTTGTTTCGGTAATGTCGCAGTTAAAAGCTAAATCTACATCATCATCCGCGAGTTTACGTCGAGTTAACAAGAAATGGTAGCAGCCGCTGCAGCAGCAGCAGCTATACCCCATGATTGGGGTGAGATATCGACGTGGGACTGACCAGCCCTACAGCCTACAGGTGATGCGATGCATTCATTCGTGTTCTAGATTTGAACCCAGGTCTGCATTTCAACAGGCCATGGGTGTACCAACTGGTTCAGGCATCAGGTGGTTGCTAGCTGTAGCCCATCATTTGCTGTTCCAAGTTCTAACCCATTCTGCAAACAAATCTTGCTGTGTTGTTTTGTCTTTTGTGAAGGCAAGTGCTTGGATCAATTTCGATAGATGCGTCCGGAGCTGCTTTGAGAGAGAATCACGGTTTCACGCTTTTCACAGCGAAATCTGAGATAAAGCACCCTGATGCAGGGCGGGGGCTGTTCGTTAGGGGAAGGGCGAAGCCTGGTGCCGTTGTCGCATTTTTCCCAGGGGTTGCTTATACTCCTCCTCAGTATCGGCTCATTGAAGGCTACCCGGACGTCGTTGCTGGGAATCCATACTTGATCGGGCGTTACGACGGAGTGATCGTTAACGCTAAGCCATGGGGGCAAGGCACAAAAGGCAGGCAGAGGTGGACTGCCGCTGCTGGCGGCGGGTTTGCATGGCAGGACGTAGGAGAAGAGCTGGCGGTTTCAGACGCCGCGGCAGGCGGTCATGCGATCAATGCAACCGCCGCCGCTGCCGCAGCAGCTTCTTCCTCACCCCTTCCCCTCATGGCCGTCGTTGACAGGGGCCACCCCCTTGCGCTGGGTCATTTTGCAAATCACCCTCCGAGCGGAATGGCTCCGAATGTCATGGCTCTTGGATATGATTTCGTCATAAAGCGGGATGGGGAGGAGAAGCTACTTCGACAGTTCATACCCAATATCAACTGCGACGATGAGGTGGAGTACATCGCCGCCGAGCAGGGCGTCGGTCAGAAAGGTGGCAATGACTACAAAGTGTCACGGAATCGTGTGAAAGGTGTGCAGCAGGTAAGGTCGGTAGTTTTCGTTGCGCTGAGGGAAGTAGAGGACGAAGAGTTGTTGCGGAACTATAGATTGAACCCCAAGTTAGAACGCCCGGAGTGGTACTGCCCCGTTGATGAGGAGGAGGAGAGAAGGAGGTGGTCTGAGTGAGACTGTGCGAGATGTGCATGCATTGCTACGGCATGCTGGGCGAGACGGGGACGACGAGGAGCGGAAGTGGATGCGGCGAAACGACTTTTTTTTTCCTGTAGAGAAGTGAATTGGTGAAAGACGAGTTGGCTTGTTGATCCTGCGAGTAAGATGGCAACCGGATGTGCGGAACGACTTTCTCGTCGATCTCAACCCGCGCCAAGTCTCGCAATTTTTTATTTTTTTGCGTGTAAATCTTCTGATATGCATCGACGGGCACAGCGACGTTTTCCAGAAACACGTCCCCCGTGCCCTCCTATGCTGTCCTACAATCTTCTCCCGAACACAAGGCACCCCCGTCGTGACTGTACAGAACCGGAAAGATAGCTTGTATACATTCACGATGAGGGTGCGCTGTGTTCAGGAGGGGACGGTAGTATAATCTCTGGCAGTTGACATATGATCCACTGGAGCAAAATCTTGGCAGCAAGCCCAGGCAAGCAGGAAGGAAGACAGGCCCAATGCGGCTGCAGCCTGGTCTCGTACATGGGCCCTTTCAGACAAGTTGCAGAGATCTTCGAGATAGAGGAAAAGTACTTTGGGCATGCAGGAGGGGGGAAAGCAGCCAGCCTGTGAGGCCCAGAACAACAGGCGAGATGCTTCAAACAGTGTTGCGCGGCCAAGGAACGAAGTACTGTCCTGTAGCGTAGTAGTACCTATTTGATTGTCTCTTCTCACTCAGGAGGGGTTGCTGACTTGAAAGTAGATGAATGTTGTGTGTGTGTGTGTGTGTGTGTGTGTGTGTGTGTGTGTGTGTGTGTGTGTGTGTGTGTGTGTGTGTGTGTGTGTGTG